TCATTGCTGTATGACGAAACTGTGAAACGTCGTAATTGAAAAATAAAGTGGACGTGCTTGGCAACATTGACGTGAATAATTATGTCAGAGAGACTGTTAGAGTGTAAATATAACTTCGTTTATTATTGCACTAGGAATAAACTGGACAAAATGAATTGACAGTTTCGAATCTTTGTCTCGTAATTATTGACAACGTGCAACTGTTCTTGGCAAGATTAATATTGTTCTCTATCGAGTTAAAATTGAAATACAAATTAATTTTGTATTTATTTTTAATTAAATATATCTTGTTATATGTAAGATGCAGTTTATACTAACGATATTATATAAAATTTTGGAGAAATTATACATATATATAATGTAATTATATAAAATTATGTGTAATATACAATTATATTTATAATTGTGTTTATAGAATATATTAAACATATATTTAAAGAAAGATACATATGTTGAACAATCCAAATTTTTATTTTGACAACCAAAGTCACCAAAATGTTGTGTTTTTGTCTTCAGTTAGATTGGTTTGCCAGTTCTATCGTAAGGTATAATCCAACGTGTACAGTCCGCTCAACAAATCGAATATGATCCAGCCCGATACACCAAACACCACCTATGCGTTAAGATTCGATACAATGTGTAAACTCGTGAGCGCGTGAACACCAGCAAAGAGAAGAAAAACGAAATACCGGTTGCCAAAAAATTTTCAAAACTAAACCAGGTCAGATCTTTGAATGAAATTTCGTCGTTCGACATCAAAACCGAGCAAATTGAACCCAGTTATAATTAAAGTAAAACAATAGAGTAAGTGACAAAGAAGGAAATTCCAGAAACAGAATGGTAGAAAAAAGTAAAACTAGAAAGTAAAATGTAAATCGAATAAACAGGTCATAACTTTTTGATGGAAGCTTGCAGAGGATGTCCTGCACAATGTGGCCACATCACGGACAGGTTAACTTTTTAATAGTATATTGTAGACGAGAAACAATGCCCGAAATGAATTTTAAATTCATAATTAATAATTACTATTATAAGAAATTTATTACATATTTTATTCTTCTCTATTACACTCTGGCTCTTCAAACCATTTAACTCATTCGTTTCATATAACCCTATACGAACCCAAACTGTACACAGGTGTCGCGATAAATTTTATTTCGAACATAAAATAATTCCTGCATCCTAATTCACATACAAAACGATTCCCAATAATATCTCAAATTTGATGACATATTTTACCTGTACTTAAATGCTTAAAAATTTTTAAGCTTTTCTTTTTAATACAATAGCTAAAATTTTCTAATTTGAATATCTCAAAAACTAAAACCTAGATGGGATAACATATTTAGAAAGAAAGTTATTTAAAATATCTCTTCAACATATGAAAAAATCATCAAAATCAGTGTGATAATTATTCACGTAATTATCAAAAAGCAAAATAATCTCGAAAAATATCTCTTTGCAGACAAATATCTTCCAAACACCCCGAGCTATTAAATCTCAATGGTACCTCCGATTTTCCACCCGCTTTTCCGCCCTCCACGTCCAACCATCTTTACATACCCTCCCCACCTCGACGTCCCTCCAGTCATTCGTTTATAATCGAACATTCGGATTAACGCGTAACATTGAGTGGATAATCTTTGTTTGCCGTCACGATGGAACTAATTTAAGTTCATGTTGCGCCGAACGGCCTAGAATTATTCGTTCGAATGCTCTTACGTAGCCCTCACCAACGCGTGCAGTGAAGTTCCCGTTGAACTTTGGCTACAAAGATCTAATATGAATGATTCCCATTCACGAGTGCGATGCAATCGCTCTCGTATCTCTTCTAATGGAATTCGAGGTTAGGTTATACAGCCTACGCGCGCCCTCTGGCGACCGGAACTTTAGTTGTCTCGATTGCCGCGTTAGTTGTCGCGAGTTGCACGTCAGCCATGTTTTTTCGCGGAATAGCAAGTTACAGAACAGAGTTGGACCATGGAGATGTTCGTCGAAGATCGAAGGATTACAGAGAATCGAATTACATTCGCGAAAGCTTGATTATGATATGTGGGATTTATTGGTAGGACTGGTGGGGAATTGGGAGGTTATGGGAAGGGAAATATGAGGAATGGAAACGTAATAGCTACGATGGAGGTTATACGTTGGTAGCTGTTAGGGCAAATCCGTCATTTGCTATTGGGTTATCGGTTATTCGTGATATGTAATACTTCGTTCCCACGTTTTCCTGTGAAAATTTTAGTTTCTGAGTACTGTTTATTAGTACTCGATTTTTTGGTTTATAAGTATTCGAAGTACAGTTATGTGTACATGGGTATTTGTAATTGTAATGGTTTTTATTTTTAATCCCTTAAGAGATTTATTTCATTTTGGAACTGTACACCTGTCTGATTAATTGGTTTTAAGTTATGACGAGTATACCTAACGAAAGGAAAATGCACTTACTATAAAATTGAAATGGATTACAACGAAGTAACAAATTTTTATAGTTGCTCGTTTTTAATGTATATTCTTGTTGATTAAAAATTCATTAATGTTATTTATGAAATTTTTAAGTCGATAAATTCGTATACGAAACAACATTTGGAATTAAAAATATGTTTATGTCAACTAATTAATTATTATTACTCTACAATTATGAATTAATGCCAATATTATGAACATCTTTCTTATTTTATTTATTTATTTCAATAAAATTTATAACTAATCAATGAACTTTTGTAAGCTATTTATAAGAAGCTACATAAATTTAATTTCCCGAAATTTTGCAATTTTGCAATTTTTTAAACCTTGGTGTTATATGAATAAGAAAATAATTTTAAATAATTATGCAATATTATTTTGAATAAGCTTGGGATTCTACATTTCAAAGAATATAATATTAGTTATTCGTGATAAGAGATACTTCTATAAACTTATAACAAATATTAAATTTTTATAATTTGGAAATATTACATACACGTATAAGGAGTTTCAATCTCGTTGCTTTAAATCTGTTTAAAATATTAATGACGGACAAGTAAATTAATTCCAAACCAATTTGAACGATTGAAACTAGACAAATTAGAAAGAAGTGTCAATTAACACGATTATAAATCACTAAATCACTAAATCCCCGTAATTCCTGCGACAATTCATGCCCGTACTACTATATTTAATAAAATAAATAGGAACAAGGAATTAATTTCGAGTTTGAATGATCTATTAATCCTCTTAAATCATAAATTATTCGTCTAAATCACCATCCTGTTGAATTTAATAGACGAATCACGTATTGGCCAAAATTATGCGAATAGTCCAATCGATTTATCCCGTTTTATAACTATTTCATCTCTACAAAATCACGAATCTTCACCCCATTCATCACACCACAGGATAACAGAGAATCGATGAAAAGCTATAAAAGAAGAAAGTTTCATTCGTTAATCGTGGCTACTCGCACTGCAGAAGAAAATTTCTAATTCTTCTCTCATGTAGAAGCATTTTATTTCAAAACTTTTTCCTCGCTTTCGAACCGTAGATTGCTCAATTCTTTAGCAAACTTTAAAAAACTGCAATGTATAGCTTCATTACCAAGGAATACGTAAATCTCGAAGCTGTTCTCATCGAAGCTTTTCTCTTTCACTATACAAATCGATTCTCACGATAAATCGCATTCGATAAATGTTAACGCGAATAAATGTTATCATTAACATGATATGGAATCCACAAAACAATTAAAAGAAAAAGAAAACAAAAATTAATTAATCACAGCAAGTCCTTCCCATGGAACATGCAACTACTTGCATTGAACTATATACATTTTTATTAAATATTGCAGTAAATAAATTTCAAGATTAATTTATTATATTTTATAAAACTAATTCTCTATTTGGTAACACATTTTAATCTCACTCTGATAGATATAATATTTATAATAATTAATTCTATCTTCGTGAATAATAATATTGCAAAAAGTCACAGAAAATTGCAAACAGTCTGTGCACTTCAAAATTGAAATTATATATATCATAGTATTGCATTTTTACTTTTCAAAATTACATTTTCTTTCTACACCTTTAAAGTTATCAAAGAAATGTGCACTATGGAAATTTGTACCATGAGAACGAATATTGAAACGTATTTTCGTGGACATATATAAATTTCGAAATTGCACCTATCAAAGAATTTTATTCCATGACTAGTTTTCCTCTTTCATAATCACATTTTCCTTTCACTCTCGACGAATAACAATATTACAGAAAAATCCCGAAAAATTACACATGGTGTATCTATTTCAAAAACCCTGTAATTGTCTGTTACCCCAAAAAATGTCAAAATCATGCGTATCAAAGAGTCCTATTCCAAACTAAATTTCTCCATTTAATATCACATTCTATTCTTACCTTTAACGAATAGAATTACGTCTCACAAAAATTCCCAAAATTTACCCTTTTAAAAATTCCGTAAATACCTGTCTCTAAGAATGAAAGTACTTTATCCTAATGCAAGGTCTCCTCTTTAAAACGAAATAAATCGGTACTATACTGAACAACTATATTCCAAAAATTACCAAGAAAATGTCTGTTTCGAAAATTCCATGAATTCCCATCTCCGAAGAAAAATCTCAAAATCACACGTGTCCCTAACCAAATTCTTTTCATTAGACCCTCGTCTCTATGGAAAAACGATATCCCCAAAAATCCTAAAAAATCCCCAAATATCCCCGAAAATTCCCCAAAAATTCCCCAAAATTCCCCAATAAACGTACACTTCGAAAACGAAACCCATCTCTAAGGAACTATACATCATGTACAAGGAACAAATTAACCTATAATAAATTAACAAATTAACCTAACCCACTTCCCACAAACATAAATCCAAAAATCACACGTATCTCGTTCCAAAACTACCCCGTCAAAGTCGAAATCCCGAGAAAGGTAGAAATTGCGATGTTGGTGGAATATTACAAGAAATATTGGAAACACACGGAACTATTGAATAAACAAATTACTCACGCTTAGCGTAAGCCAGGTCAGTGACAGAGAATATGACCATTAACGCGCAGACGGATACGCAGACCGAAAGGTGAAGACCGGAAGTGGTATTGCTCTTCATGCTGCTCCTCAGGAAGCCGTTCCTCTCGACTGGTCGGCTGGTGGGCAACTAGTAGATGCTTCCTCGACGAGCAGGTGGTTGTGAATGAACGAAGGGGATGTCACGCGTTCCTTCTTTTACAGGAGCGCGAACCGGAGGGGCGCAGCCGTGGGTGGTGTGTCACACTGGTCATATACAGGGTGTTGATACGTTGTGAATGCGGGTTGATAAAAGTCGTTGAAAGAGACGCGAGTTCGAGAGGCGTCTAACTCGTTCGTACGACAACTCCACGGTGTCACTCTAATTGTACTCTAGATACGTGCGTGTGCGTGTGCACATGCACGATACTGCAGCTTCGCAGACGAAACTGGTTAGAAATGGAGATGCAAGTTTCGGTGATATCAAACTTATCTCGCGAGGATTCTAATTTAATTCCGAATTTTTCGGCTCCCATTTTTTTCACGGGTCACCAAATTTCCTTGGAACAAGGAATTTTGAAGAAATTTCACTATTCCAATTTTCGTTCCTTCGATTTATTTTCTAATCGCGTAATTTGCGTGTTTCGCTGTACTCGTTTTGGAATATTTTTTGATTTTTCGTTTGCATTGCTTTGCGAATTGTAAATTGTACTTTTCTCTTCGCACATATATATGTGTTTTGAGTTTTATTTGCATTTGAAGATTCTACCCTCGAAATAAGAGACGAAAACTGTTCGAGTTTCCATGATTGTGTATTATATGTTTTAAATTATGAATTTTTATTTTTTAATTTATTTACAGGGGTTGATGGAGTTCATTGGGAAATAAATTTTTGAAAACGTGACTTTATACCTTTATATCGGGTTTTAATAGATTAATATAGGTCTTCGTGGAAATAAAAGTTGACCTAACTTCTCGTTTCATTATCTTCTGATATGAATTTTTGTTATTATAACAATAATGTACTGTATTCCTGAGCACCAAATCAACTAAGTAAAATTGGTTTGTATTCAAAACTAGCGATTGCTGTATATTTTTCAGTTTTGATTAAAAAATTTTTCAATCGTTTCATTTGATTGATAGAAATGAAACAAAGGCGTACTTCTGCAAAATAATATTCATTAAAGAAATAATTTTAGAATTCATTCCTTGAATGACTGCCTTCGTTTATTTATCTTTTCTGTAACATTTAAACAAAATCTACATTATACCTTCCTTTGTGAATTTAATATAACTTCGTGAGAAATCAGACTCGTGATTAATTAGACTTAAGAAAATATGAATCCTCGTATAAAAATAAAATGTATAAGAATACAAAGTACAGGAATATGATAAATCTAATATAATCCACAATTAACACACTTTGTTGTTTCCATTCCAAATTAATAATTATCTGCACCGCCATTTCAGTGAACTAAATATTGCATAGGAGTATGGAACTTTTATTTGATCAATAAATTAGGTCAATCGTATTAAGAATTTCAATTATAATTGTTTCGTCGTAAAATACGATCCTCTTTTCTCTCCATGGTTTTACAAGCTGTGCTGTGAAACGTAGAAAGTGCATTTCGAAAATAACTGAACAATGGAATACGTCATTTTGCTGACAACCTACGACGTTAGATATAATTTTTATAATCGTACTCTTATCTAGACCCCGTTTATCATCAGCGAGAACAAACCATAAAGTGCACAGCTGATGATTAATCTCGATGTCTATCTTATATAAATGCAATTTATCTGTTCACGAAAATGTATAAACGGCTGGAAAGTATCCTTCTCGGAACAGTAATTTGCCATAAAGAGAAGCAGGATTTCCAAACGTCTTGCATCTCCGTTGCTATGATTTTTCTTTATTTACAGAACGATCTGAAAAATATACTGCTTTATGTAAACGAGTGTATAACTTTTGTTTGGTTATCCTTTTCTTTCCCAGTTTACGGAATAAAAATTGTACTACGATGGTTAAGTCAACTGAGAAAATCTAAATTTCCAATGACGAAATATTTAGTGACGTATGTTTCATTTTTGAATAAAATAGAAATATTAATAACGTTTTCTGTGGATAGAAAAATTGGTAATGGTGAGAGGAACTTAGATTCAACTTGAAGTATTGAATAAATTAACTTTCTTTTCCTGTATTCGAATTTTCGATTGACTCTGGTTAAAATTTTAATAAATACGAGAGAATAAATTATGGCAATTATGATAATTATATAAATGGTTCGAATTTTTCATTTTTCATTTTTGTGTTACTTCAAAATTAATCGACGAGAAATTATTTTATCCGCATAAATTAATAAAATTATCATTGTTTTTAAAAATATTAATTTACGTATTTATTATCAGTACTTACATACTAATTTACGATCGTAATTATTTTTAATATAAGAAGATTATTTCGACTCCTTGTGATTAAAATTGCAATAATTATTGAAAGATAGTAGTACCACAAATTTGATTTTAAAGGTTCCAACGAATATACGAAATGAAGCCATAGATGATTAACATGATAAATCCTTAATAACCAATAATCAATTCTGGTAAGTTTAAACAAGCAAAGTCGAAACAAGTTTCACCATATACGAAAGTTTCCAAGGGGAAAGCTTATTCATTACTGAGTTTCTTCGATAAATTGAAACTCTAATCATACATTCCCAGAAAATGATCCTCGTTGTTTCTATTGTATCCCATTTGGAACGAAAAATGATCTTCAGAAAACGATTGGTAAACATCTCATTCTATTTAAAAGAGGAAACAAGTAAATATCGAAATTATTTTCCACGAAAGACTAAAATTAAATAGAAGCTAATAATGGGAAATAATTGATATATTATAAATAAAACATTTCTCCAATTTTATTTATAAATATTCATATTCTTTTTTTTTCTTATTTTTTTTTTTTTTTTAGTTTTGATAATACTTGGTTAATAAGGAGAAATTTAGAATTAAAATTACTTTTTCACAGAAGAAGGAAAATGTAACTTATTATAGTTCTACTGTGCAATCTTCTTGTACATATACCTTTACATCTAAGTTCAATATATATGTACATTAATATCTAATTATATCATCCCTAGTTACGAATTTTTGTCCCTAAAATTCTGCACCGATATTTCATAAAATTTTCTAGCAGAAAAGTTCAGAAAATTCAAAATAATGGTCCAGAAATATTTATAATATAATATTTATAATATTAAATAATGGGCATCATTAACAGGAATAATCGATTTTTATTATTGATTATGACAATAGGTATTTTGGAACTAGAATTAAAATTGAAAGATTACATTATGTGAAGTTGGACAATTCGTTACTAGATGGCACTCCACGTATTTAGAGTGATACCTACAAATTTGTTGTCAAATGTTACTATTCAAGACGAGATATTAAATAAGTGTAAATGGATGGAAGTGTACTTTAATTGTTTCTTTAGTTTAAATAAGTTCTTTATATGAACACTTATGGATTTTTGAAAATTTTTAGTAGAAAAAAGGAAATGGGTGAGAATTCACAGCTACTGTCATCTACTAACGATAGCGTGAAACATGTCGAGGTTCCAAACCAAAAACGTAAAATTTATTTAAGAATAGCATATATTTCACTTCTTTATAAGAATATTATTCATGAAAAAATAAGTTTCATAAACTTATAATTATGATATAACCATCATCTGCTTTCTCCGCTAAAAAAAGAGTTAAATATTAAATGCCGAATATCGAAAAAAAAGATATTTTTATTAAAACTATTTTACATAGATTCAAAGATGAATTATAGAATAGATCTATCATATAATGCATTTTTCTATCACGCGATTTTGAAAAACTAGAAAAACTAGAGCTCCTTTGTCATGAGTCACTCCCAGTATCATCGACACTGCATAGAATAAGAATACAATGCTCCCGGTGGTGGGAATTTAAACGAAATATATAGTATGGAGTTCTTAATGCGATAAAACGGCAACAAAAAATCATACGATTACTTTTGAGGGACCTTTGTAAAGGAAGAATTTCCCCCTACAACGTCTATTCAAAGGAAATAGCAAAAAAAATTATCAAGGTTCGTAGAATCGTTTAAACATATCAAAGTTTTGAAGACAAAGACTATACTAAATTTTTCACTTTACTTTTCGAAATATGGAAATTTTCGAGAACCTACAGTACATGTATGTTAAAGTAGAGGCTTCAAGCTTTAAAACGAGCCAAAGTTGATCGTCATACAATATTTCTTCATAAAGTTACAACAGATCTAAGATTCAGAATTTTACCATGATAATTTCTTGATCCCTTAATTATGGCGACGAGTATGTAATACTTATATGTATAATCAATTAAAAAATATTCACTACAAAATTTATTACGATTCGTGGTAGTTTAAGGAAGAAAAGTTGCATATGAAATTTATGTATTAGTCTATGACTTTAATAAGTCGCACTAATTAACTTTTTATTTTAACTAATAAATAATTCTTTTTACCTACAGTGAATAAGTTTGTTATAAGTGAGATTTCATAAAAAAGAAATATAAAATTAATAATTGTCTTATTATTTTATTATAAATTAGTGGCAATTGAAATATAATTTTTATCGTATGTAATCAAAGTAAATAAGCAAATAATCAGAACAAATTAGCTAATAATTTATTCAATTATAAAAAATTATTCCTTTAGCAACTAAAACTTAGTAATTTCACACCATAAAAAATAAAATAATTATTTTATGATTGGCTCTACAATTACAATCTAAATGATGTATCGGTAATACAGTATTCTGTAACAAAATGGTGAAGAATGCCTTAATAATCGTAAATAAAATAGTGTAATGTTTTTTGTGTTTATCCTGTGTATTTGAATATATTATTATATTTGCTACTAATGTTATAAAACATAATCTTTTTAAATCTAACGTGACATTGTTTATGTACTGTCTAGTATGACTATTTATCAGATTTAGAATAGTTGTATTATAATGTTTACATTATTGGGTGAAGTAATCTTGTGGACTTTCGACGATAATATCAATATAAAGAGTACAGACTTTGGTGCATTTCGGTGAGATAGATTAATTTATTCGTATTATAAATTAAATTAATAATAAAATGCATTAATAGAACTAAGTAATATAAACTATTTATTTTTTAAAATATTGTAATAATTTTACAAATAAATCATTTTATCTATACAATACTTCTTATTATTATAACAAAAACAAATCTTATATTATTATTGTAGATACCATGACAAACGTATTGATCATGTGCACGAAGAAGGAAAAAGATCTTATTGTCAAAAACGTGGTATGATATATGTACCAACAAATAAGAAAGGAAATAAACTAAAAGATTCTCTCAAATATCTAGAGGTAAAATTCTAATAAAATACTAATAAAAAATACAAGCAGTTTTGTATTTTATATTGAACTGATCTTTATAGGAACAGTTAAAAGACAATTCAATTATATATTGTCAATGGTATGATGACTGTATTTTACAATTAATGTTAAGTAATGCGTTATTAATACAAATACAAGTTAGTATTTCCACCGGTGATATTTGTAAAATGACATTTGATAAATACCTCATAGGAAAATTATTAGAACATATATCAGATGGTAAATATTTTTAAATCATTTATAATTGTACCTTTATTAAAAAGACATACAAATATTTTATCATCTATATTTTTAGTGATTATTACTAAGAATTATATACTTTGCACCTATAATGATAATCAAGTAACTGTTGTACATTTTACAAGATCAAAGAGACATGTCTTTGATAAAATTAATAAACTGGAACCAAAATTATCCACTATTGATCTATTTGGCCCTAATGGTCGCAGATTGGACAAGAAAGTACAAACTAATAAATGTGGAGATTTGGTAAATATGTTTATATTAAAAATTTTGTTAAATTATATTTTCTTATTCATATTTTTTTGATTAATAATTTTTCCAGCTATCTTTTTTCAAATTTTTTTTTAAACTATCTTCTAAAAATTATAGATATTAATTTGGTGGAAATCTACCATGAATGAAGTTTATCCTTGGAGTCCTGCTGTAAAAGAACATGATCGTGCTAACATACATCTTTATCGTTTATTAGGGTATAAGATTATAATTTCAGATCATGCCAAATGTTTAATTTTATTTACTTCAATTTTGTAATATTTGATGAAAATATCAATTTCTACTTATGTAATGAAGATATTTATATATAATCTGTTTTTATTTTCAGAGTAAAATTAGAATTAATTTGTTATATACGTAGTGAGTTTGATCCTCTATGTATAATATTTGATCCATGTAGTGATAATATTATTCATTCTGTAGAACAAAAAGTATCAAGAAAGGTAATAGTAACACATTATTTACTGCAATAATTTCTGTAACATTAGTTTTTCAATTGAACACTTTATATCATAAATATGATGTAGGGAGAAGTAACCATAGAATGGCGGACGTACGAAGTTTCCCAACAAGATAAACTTCAAAGAATAGCAATGGTTTCTGTACCATTACCTACACATACAAGTTGTGTAAAATTTTCTCCAACTCAAGAATTGTTATTATTGTGTTGTATAGATGGTTCAGTTATAATTTATGATCAGACTAGAGCTACTACTATTAGTGTAAAAGCAGCTTTTGTAAGTTGTACATATATATACCTAATATTTAGTGTTAAATAATAATTCCTTAAATATAATCCCAACATAATCCATATATCTTTAAGATACCTACATTGGCATCATGGCATAGTGATGGAATAATATTTGTTGTTGGAAATGATAAAGGTCAATTTCAACATTTTGACATTGCTTTGTCATGTATTAAAAGTCAAACATTAAGTGAAGAAGTTGCACAAGCAAATATTCTTGATTTATCATCATATTTTAGGTATTAATTTGATTTTATCTCCTTACTTATATAATAACCTAATTCCTTAATATAATAGCAATTGTAAAAAAGCTTATTTTTATTTACACTGTAGAATTCAACCAGCATTACTGCGCATGGAATGGAATAAAAAAAACGATTTAAATTGTTATATTAATTTATATAATCATGGAAATTCTTTGTTATTATTAATTTTTCAACGGTATGATAATATGAATTCCTTTAATAAAACAAATAACAAATAATAAAAAGGATTAATGTAATATATTGATAGAGGTCCTCTTGGTGTTATAAAAATGTTGGAAGGAAATTCTTTTACTGGTGATGTATTAGTTAAAAGATATTTATCTTTATCACAAGTTGAACAAGCAACTTCTCTATTACTAGCAATGAATTGGGATACTCATTCTCGTGCATGTATGCATGCATTAAATCAGATAGTAAATTATTTGTTTAAACTACCACTCACAACAGAACGTGAAAGTAAGCTACATATTTGTAATTTAAGTAATTTATCTTGTATAATGCAAACAATTTGATTCTTTGTAGATCTTATTCAAAATGCACTGGGTAGTTTTCATGTACCTATCAAACCAATAAGTCAAGTTATCGAAGAGGAATATGGAGATGAAATAAGGGACTTAACCAGACGTTTCTTCCATCATTTATTAAGGTATTTCATCTATTTACTTTTTAAAGGTATTTGTGTTATATACAAGACTAATCCTAGATATTGTAGGTATCACATGTTTGAGAAAGCTTTTAGGCTTGCTATAGACTTAAATGACCATGATCTTTTTATGGACATACATTTTTATGCATTAGTTGTAAATGATACAGCAATGGCAACTGCTGCAAAAGAAAATGCAGAACGTATATTAAGTAGATCAAATAGTTGCAGTAGTTCACGTAAGAGTAAATGAAATATTTTACAAAATTACTTTGTTCTATGGAATATAGTAAACAACACAATTTTTAGATTCTACATGTTCTAGAGCATCCTGTTCATTATGCTCTGATTCAACAAGTGATAAAGGAGAAGAATCTTGTAGTGACGAAAGTGAAAACTTTTCAAAAGAAAAACAGACTGATATAAAACAATCAAAGAGTCACAATTATAAGAAAGAGCCCAACAGCCAAATTCCACCTTTACCAGTTCTCCATCCACATCCTCTTAATAAAAACCTGCTATCCACGTCATTTACTGACATATCACCTGATGAAAAAACAGATTGTAATTTAGAAACAAAACCTTTTAGTATACCTAACAGTACTCTTACCACAACTTCTTTTAATCATTCATCACACCTTTCGCTTTCAAATACATTTTTTACATCAACATCATTCAACAAACCACTTTATAAAATTCATACAAATCCAACATTAGTATCTACAATGTCTTCTACTAATAATTCACAATCTTTCAGTAACATTTCTGATGATCTCATGACGACTTCATTTGGAAGTTTATCTTTAAACGAACGAAAAATAGGGATATCTAACCGAGTTAATGAAAATTCTATAGATACAGCATTGAACAAAGTATTACGTGGTGAAATGCAATTTCCTCTTGATAGTGTATCCAATGATACAATAACAACAAACTCAGTACAAGAAAACAGCTTTATGTCGACTCCTTTTAATAATCCAACATATGAGTCAGTTACATCAGACGTTTCTTCCGATTTATTAAGATCCTCGTTAGATAATATGGATAATAATATTATGTCAACATCTTTTAGTACTCCTGCTAATGATATTTCAAATCCATATGACAATTCTTTCAATGATTTAATAACTACTAAATGTGATTCCAACACTGCCTCATCCCCCCTAAAAAATATAAAATCATCTGTTACTATGAATGATTTTGTATCTAAAACACTTCCTGATTCGGTTATAACAAATAAATTAACATCTAGTTTTCATACCAATCATAGTAATCTTGCATCTACAACGTTTAATTTTGTTGAAAATCAAGTACAAGATTCTTGCAATAGTAGTTTAAAGAGCTTTAATAATGAAGATAATTGTAATATTACAAAAGTACAACAAGCTTTCCCAGGAAAAAAGCAAGTAGATTTCAATATTCCACCACCGCCTTCGCTAACAAGTTCATTTACAAATTATTTTCAAAGTCTTCCAAAAAAAAATCTTCCTTTATCTAGAAGTACATCAGGATTAGCAGATATTGATGAGTCTATCAAAAAATTTTCATCTATTAGAACAAGGAATATACACTCACATTTATTACAAAGACAAAATTCTGCATCTAATATTTTACAAGAACAACACAAATATAATAATATTAAATCCTCTAGATATAGATTTAATTATGACTTTGATTGCATTTCACTTCATGGAAGTTGTGATAATATTGATATGCATTCTTCTACTAACAACATAAGACTAGGTAGTTCACAATTTTCTTCTACCTATAGTGTACAAAATAGATTTGACAGACATACAAAATTAGTATTATCACAAAATGGAACAAATACTAGTACTAACAAAGAACCTAAGATATCTTCCAACATTCCACCTCTACCTATCATATCACCTCCAGTTTCTACTTCAATATCTTGTTCTCCCTTTTCTACCTTCACAGATACAGCATTAGCAATAAATGAAAAACCAAAGGTTAAATTTTCAGATACAGTGACACATATATTGGTACCTGGTACAGTAAGTATAATTACATATAAACAAATCATTAAGAAACAAAAATATGCAGTACTTCTTATTATCATAATTTACAGGGTCAATCACATAAACAAAAACGTTCTACAATTACCCAAGTACATTTAACTGATCCCAAACGGGAGTTAGCAGAAAGCCTTCCACTGTGCCTTGGAAATGAAGATTATCTTAAAGATTTCCAACCATTACCAAGTGAGTAATATAATTTGATGACTAATAATTTCAAATATGTAATATTACATTTTATAGAAGAAGATATTAATGACAAAGTCAAAGAATCTTCAAGACCAGAAGAAGGTTCAAAAATAAAGGTTGTACACTTTGGATTATTATAGAAAAAAAGATTTAAATAAAACAAAATACATATATACATACACAAGACTGTATTTACATATATTTAAGCTTTATATAAGGATATCTATACTTTTATATTGTACATAATTTTTATACAATAAAAATTTGTTTCATAATTTTTATTTGTGTCAATTTGTAAATATTTCTTCCAAATTATAATTGTAAACATATTATCTATTATGAAAATAAGTATTAAGTATCATTTTTACTACTTATAATAAAATCTTACTTTTTCGTAAATTCATTCAATGATTCTTTCAAATCAAGCAACATTTTATTTGGTATTATACGTTTCTTCTGCATCACTGGGTCATATTGGTCTATAGATAATGAAACTCCTTCAGGTAAAGTTGCTTCTAATATTCTAATAATAATAGGACACCTTACAGATGTAACATTTGATATTTGCATATTTCTTTCATAAATTTTTAAATTATATTCAGCATCAACTACTGTACTTCCTTGTTTAAATCTTTTTATCTTATATTCTCTATGTGGAAAAGGTGCACTATGAAAAAAGATAAATACATTATTGAAATGTATAGTATTAAATAATCATTTCTATTATAAAAATATAATTGCAATATTACCTATCATCAACAGTAAACTGCAATACTTTTGCTAATTTGTGAATAAAAGATTGATAACTTTCGAGTAAAGGATATTTATATCCTTTAAGCTGTATATTTAAAACAGGATAAATTGGTATTTCAGGTTCTTTTTGCTGTAATAGTAAAAACAAATTGATGTAAAAAGATCAAATGCAAATGTTATATACCTGTAAAAGATATAAACAAATTAATAAAATAACCTTTAAATATGGTGGCTCATATATACTGTAAAACCTCACAGCTTTATTAAATAATGAAGAAGAACAATATATTGGAACCTACATATATAATTTGATTAAATGTTTATTTCCAATAATTGAAAACAAATTTACATAACCTTATTTTAAATGAAAATAATATCCATTTACCCTTTTAATAATATTTAATACCATTTTGTGTTAAATGAAATTACTATTGAAAATTGTTATTTAATTTTTCACTATAGATAATTTTATATATTACCATTTATTTTAACTGAACTATCATAGCTAATACAAAAACGTTATACATGTGTCATATCTGCTTACATGTGCATGATAGAATCTGTCGACTATACTATGTATCTAAGAAAAATTATTTTGTACTGAAATCTTTAAAATAAATCAAAATTTGTAGTTATTCTTTAAAAAGTTAGATTAATATTGATATATAATCATTAAATTTATTTGAAATTTCTTGTAAATTTTTTTTTAAATTATTTTTATTTGTTTTCATAAAAATTAAATTACTACGATAAAAATATTCCAGAAGAAAATTTCAATATCTCGAGAATATCTAATTTATAAATTCAAAATGATTTTATTTAAAATATAAAATAATAATATTTTAATAATACATTCTTATTAATTATATTTGTCATGTTAATTCAATTCGTGGGTATAAATTTATTATAGTTACAATATAGTTCCTTATGCAAAATTATACTAGACAGTACAGTAAACATTGGTCTATTCAAGAATTGAAATCATTGGAGCTTCATTCTTGGACTTGTATTTCATTCATGCAATAACCAGCCAATAATTGTACTGCTACAATCAAAGTATTCTGTCAAGATCGGAAACGATATTTCTGACGTGTACCTATATATGCATCATGCAGAACACAAAAGTAATTTAAATATATTTTATTCAAATATACAAATGTATTATTTATGTAAAAATGGACATCGAAACTGAAAATGTTATAAATCTTGTATTTCCAAATGGCATACCAGGTAACTTATTTTTATATTTACGTTAGTGACATATGTATTTATTATTTAATATTATTATATTGTATTTGAACTATGTCTTTAAAATAAATTTTTAATTGCAAATATGTATTATTATGTATTATAGAATCATGGAAGGAAAATCCAGATTTTTATCAATATTTATCAAAACTTGGTGGTTACGATGTTGATCAACTCAGTAAGGGAATTTCCTTTAATAATAATTCTTTTATCTGAAAAAGAACTTTTTATATGAAACAAAATGTTTATATCTTTTTAGATAAAGAACCTGATCATTTAGATGATGAGAAAACTTTAGTACTGCAAACTACTCAAGAGCTAGTGTTTGCAAATTATAAAACCTTTGTCCAAACAGCAGAGAGCTCCAGAGAAATATTTAAACAAGTAATAATGTAACAGACTTTAGTAATTTTGTATAGTATTATTGATATATTTACTAGTAAAGAAATGTTATGTAATTTCAAGTTTAATAAGACTGAAAGTCGACTTGATGGACTTGTACAAAAGATACCCAAATTTGTGGAAAAGTGCCAATCATTTTGTGATACATCAAAAGATATAAATACACATAGAAGAATAAATAGTTTAACACTAACAAGAAATGCAGAACTACTTGAAGTACTTGAAATGCCCCAATTGATGGAGTCTTGTTTAAGGAGTAATCAATATAATGAAGCATTAGAGTTGTCTCAATATGCACGTCAATTAGGAACTAAACATGGAGATATTCCAATTATATCGGTATGATTTAAAATATTTATAAATTGTAAGTAAAATACATCTTACATTTTATTTATTAATGATTTAGTCCATAGTGGCAGAAATTGAAAACAGTTGGTCTGGCATGGTAGGGCAAGTTGTTGGTTCATTAAGAGGAGATTTACCACTTGCTAGATGTTTACAACTTGTTGGGTTATTACGTTCAATGGATGCTTTTACAGAACCAGAATTACGTATTAAATTTTTACAAGCACGTGACAGTTGGCTTCAAAGTCTTTTGAATGCTATACCCAAAGATGATCGTAAGTTAATTTTATATAATTCCTTAACAACTAGACAATTTAATGACATATAATATTTTTATTTAGCTAATTTTCATATCACAAAAACAATAGAGTTATCAAGAATACATTTATTTAATATAATTACACAATATAGAGCTATGTTTAATGATGATGAACTAGTAACACCAGGAAGAGATCTGACTGTAAATGAGTGTGCTATATTTTACCATTGGATAGAAGAAAAGGTATATCGAACATATATGTTTTGGAAGTATATTTTTAATTACATTTAATTTTCTTTTAGATATCTCAATTTTTAATGACTTTAGAACAAGATTTACCTGGTGTGACATCGATAGATTCTATTTTGGGTCAATGTACATATTTTGGATTATCATTTGGTAGAGTAGGTGCTGATTTTACTGGTCGAATGTCTGATATATTTGTACGTATTATTGGAGAAAAATTTGAGTCCACTGTTCGTAAGACAACAAAAAAATTTGAGAAAGATATGGAATCATTTACATTAATTAATAAAATATATAAAACTAATATTAAAATGACTACTACAATTAAGTCAGTAAGTAATCGTTTTATTGTAATTTTTTTTTTCATTAAACAAAATGTGTCATACATATTTTGTAATATTTTATAGGAAAATCCACCAGAACAATTGGTTGAATTTTATCCTTTAGCTGAATATTGTAATGGATTAATATCAGCTTTTAATGAAATACGGCTTTGTCCACCAATAGCACTTTCTGTTTTTTGTACAAAAATTTTACAGGAATCTTTACATAATGTAGCAAAATCAATATTATTTTTTTATAAACAAGAACAACAAGTAAGCTAGTATTTTTAATTTGTGGTTTGCTAAACATGTAATTAAATAAATGTATACTTAACATAATTTACATTTTACAGGCTTTTGCATCTTCAGAAAGAGAGAACATGCTTAAATTTATAGAATGTTTGAGTGAACAATTAATTCCTTATGTACAGTATTGTATTCATATTATTTTTCCTCCAAATCAAAGTGCAATTCATTTAGGTGTTTCAGAAAATGTATTACAAACAGAGGTATATAAGAGTTATTTTTATGATATTGTATTTATTAGATTACTATAAAATCTTTCTGACATACAAATATTTTTTTTTTTTTATTGAAATGTAAATAGTATTTAATCTTTAATTTTAAACAATGTTTTTAATATATTTTGTTTCTTGCATTGTATCACATAATAACAAATTACATTTACCACAAATTTATGTATTTGACAAATTTTTATTTATATACATTTATTCAGTTTACAATAATTAGAAATAGTTATGCTATATATACAAAATTTACAATATTAAGTAGTATGAATATACAAAATTACCTTTTGAATGAATATCATATTAGTGATTTACAGATATAAAGTCATATCTATATATTTCTTACAGGGAATAACATATTTAAACAGAGACAGTATTTTGGAACCTTTGGCTCTTTTATTACCAATTCCAAAAAATCCATCAGTTTCTAATATACAATCACTAATGTTGCAAAGAACTTCCTCTGAAATATCTTCATCATCCGAAAATATAGAAATTGATATAACTGCTTCACAATTGGAGAAATTGAAGATACCAGAATCACACTTGTTTACAGAACAAAAAATTGTATCTACTGATTTACAAGAGAAAAAATCATTTTTGGCTGAAGATAATAAAACTTTGGCAAATAATTCAAATGATGATGATACAAGTCAAAATAGGTAATTGTAAATTTTTATGTTTCATTACATGTTATTGTATACAAAATGCCTTGTAAATAAAAAAAATAATTTTTTAAATTAACTATATACATATAATACCTATTCCTCTTTAGAGTATAAGTTTATTACATCAAATTTTTAATCATAATTTTTTTTATAATACTTCATATTAATAAGTAAATTTTCATTACAATTTTACTTATGCAATGAAATTATGATAATGAAAAGTACAAAATGTTATAAAAATTATTAAAACGTATGTATTAATTTATTTGTTAAATTATAGTAAATGTTATTTCATACATTCTAATATTTATATAAATTTATGCAAAACAAGAAAATTATTATATTTTAACAATGTTTTGCAAAGTATTTATTGCATATCAATTTTTACATGTATATACTATATACATAGTGTACAATTCTTCAAACTTTTTGAATTATTCTTTTTATTTATCATGTATCAATTAAGATTGTTTCACAACAATTTTCAGAAATTAGTATTTCATTATCTAATATTTCTTGCTTAATTTTTCTGACTTTTCGAAGTAATTTTTCATATCCTTCATTTCTTTCTTCTTTTATATTTTGTGAAAACATTAGTAATTTACTTTTCTTTGAATATCTTTCAGACACTCCATTAATATATTCTTCTTTGTAATATTTGTAATAACATTGTAAATAAATTCGTAATCTTTTTATTTCTTCTTTTTCTCGTAAATATCTTTCTCTTAATGCTTTTAAACGCATTCTTAACATATGACAGTCTCGTTTTGCTTTTGTATAGAGATATTGTATTCTCTCTGCTGATGTTTGTGTACGTCTAAAAATATTTTATTTTACACATAATTAAGTTATTGGTATGGTTATACTTTACTTATACTTTATTTATATAATTATAACAAATTGCATATTGTTTTATGATATTTTATTATAAAAAATTATAACTTGTAAAAATACATACGACTGATCTCTGGATAAATCGCCTTTTCTAGTGTATACAAATTTAGGTGTATAAACATTTCTTGTTTCTACTATTGAATTTTTATAATTGATGGGCTTTTTAAATACAGTAGATATTACATTTTGTACAACAGGTTTTGAACAGAGAGAAATATTTTGTGCATCATTTTCTAAATAATGGCAGACTTTTATATTGGATTTATTTTTTGTTTCAGTACTTAAAGTACTTAATTTATGGGTATTTTGATTTATATTTGGCACAAAGGACTTATTATATCTTTTATTGATAGTTATTTTTAATACTGGAACTTTTGTTATGGTTTTAATATGTGAATCCGTTTTCAATGTACTTTTTTGTCTATCTTTAATTTTTGGTATTACCATATTTGTCTTTAAATTAATAGATTTATCACAATTAGATGTTGATAAAACTTTATTTAGTTGATTTTGAATTACAGGAAGTGATTCTGTAATTTTTGAACTATTTGTAAATTGATTTAATAATTTTTTCGTTACAGTAGGTAATTGCATTATTAAAAACATACTTTCTTCATTTATATCTTTCTGAATATTCATCTGATGCATGTTTCAGTTTTATTATTTACAGTTAGAAGATAATACAATTTTTTTAAATAGTAATACTATTGAATTTATTATAAATTTTAAACTATTGCATAGCTTTAATTCCTTACATGTTTTTTTATCTTGAAAATACATATTATATATCATATCATCATTAGAAAGATATAAAATATTTTCATTGATTTTATTTAATTATTTCTTAGATAATGTTTTCTTTCCTAACTGAAAATTTAACAAAATAAATATATGATTTGTAATAAATTATTGTTCTGATTAATAAGTTATGGTTTCATTATTATACTTACTGAAAATATATTTGTCACATATATATATATATATATATATATATTTAACCTGTAACCAGCAATAATACTAATTTTAGTATATCAGACAAAAAATTGAACCAATAAAACATAACATGATTTATAATCTTTATTAAATGTTTATTAACGTGGTAATAAGAAAATTTAAGTAAAATTTATAGTTGACTTCAAGATTGACATTTGAATTTATACATAACAACTAAGTTTTAACTATATATATATATATAAAGGTTTTATTTAATATATTTTATCATACAATGTTTATTATATATAATACTGTAATCGTATAAATTTTCACTATTTATTTATGGAAAATAATTATTTATGTATCACAAATATGTCTATATATATTTTTGTACATTCGTTCATGAGTAGTTTAGTATGAGCATATGTAACCCTTTGTTATTGTGTGTATGAACTCTTAACTTTCCACGTGTTTTTATTTCTCATTGGTTTTATGGTTATGTATATTCGAAGATAATAATTTTAAGATTATATTACTTATTATATATAATACTAACGTTAAAATTATGAAAAAAATGAAGCATAGTAATTTAAATACGTGGAGACCATTAAGATTAGAAGGTTCTGTATTTTCTGGAAATATTGAAGATTTGATTGGTATTGAAGAATTATCTGATTATAAATTAGAAAAAAGAAATAATAGGACAAAATTTTTAATTTGCAATGAGGAAAATAATAGCAAAGGAGTTAAGGTAAAATAAAAACTATATTTTTCAATATTATTATTTTTATCTGTTACTGGAATTATATTTATTGTAATTAAAAGTGTAGAAATTTATAATATATTCAAATATAATATATATACACTATATGATATATTTACTTATTTATTCATTTATTATAGGTATTGCCAAAACGCAAAAGTTCAAATAAATGGCAAGAAAATGACATAGATGCTGATGAACCATTATTAAAGAAATCTAAGCAAACAAAACCTAAACAAAAGAAACTCAAAAAAAGGAATAATCAAAATGTAACAAAACATGTTTTTTCAAATAATGAGTTAGATATGAATAATAAAAATCAACTTTCTAATGATTGCAATGGAAGTGAAGATAATGTATACGACATTGACACTCATCAGTGGCATATCTTAGGTGTATCTACTCCTATAATAAAGGCATTAAAAGATCAACATTTCCATCAACCAACTCCAATTCAAACTTTAACTTTACCACCTGCAATATTGGGTCATAGAGATATATTAGGTGCTGCTGAAACTGGTAGTGGAAAAACATTGGCATTTGGAATCCCAATTATAAATGGTATTTTGGAATTAAAAAATAAACAATCTAATCGGTTAGATATAGAACCTGAAAAAGAAGTTAGTAAAATTATTGAAAATAAAGGCTGGATTTGCTCTGATAATGAAATGAAAGATGATAGTTTATCTGAGTCTGATTATGAAGAAGATATCAAAAGTAATAATGAAAATAGTATAGGATGTGTACGTGTAATTAATAATATAAAAATCAGTGCAACACAAAATTCTACAAAACCACTATATGCATTAATATTAACACCAACTCGTGAGCTAGCTATTCAAATTAAAGATCACTTAACTAAGTTAATAAAATATACAGATATTAAAGTGAGTATTTTAATAAGTGATAAGTAGTAACAGTTATTTAAATAATCATTATTAAGTATTGATATCATTCAGATAGCTGTAGTATTAGGAGGAATGGCTGCAGTTAAGCAAGAAAGAATATTAAGTAAAGGTCCTGAAATTGTAATTGCTACACCTGGGAGATTATGGGAATTAATACAGCAAGGGAACCCACATCTGAGTAAAGTGGATTCTATTAAGTAAGTTGTATTAAATGATTTTTTTAAGTTAATGTTACTTATATAATGTTGTATATGTATTAAATAATATAGGACAATTAATGCCTATTATTTTTAATAATATTTGTATATCATTCATTTTGAAAGAATCAGTACAATCAATAAAATTATATAGAATATATCTCTATATTTATATATAAATAACAGGTATTTGGCTATTGATGAAACAGATAGAATGTTAGAAAAGGGACATTTCCAAGAATTGCAACAATTATTGGAAAAGATAAACACAAATGAAAAAAAGTTAGAAGAAAAACAAACATTTGTATTTTCTGCTACATTAACTATGGTACATGATATTCCAGAGTATTTACAAAAGAAAAAAAGAAACCATGTTAAAAGCAAAATACAAAAATTTACACCTGGTCAAAAGTTACAAAAAATTATGGCATTAGTAGGGATAAAAAATCCCAAAATTATTGATGTTACAAAGGAATCAGGTTAGATATTCTTTTATCAAGTAATCAGGAATAATGTATTTAACATAATGTAATTATAAATATTCCTTAGGTACTGCCACTAATTTAATGGAATGTAGAATAGCATGTACAATAGATCATAAAGACTATTATCTTTATTATTTTCTAAAAAGATATGCTGGTAGAACATTGGTATTCTGTAATAGTATAGGTTGTGTAAAACGTTTAGCTACTCTTTTTGGTATACTTGATTGTAAACCTTTAGCATTACATGCAAGTATGCAGCAGAAACAAAGATTAAAAAATCTTGAAAGGTATATAATTTTAAAAAGTATTCTTTCAAATACATATATAATTCTAAGGTAACAGGAATAATCATAGATTTCAGGCAGATGAAAATGGATTATTAATAGCTACAGATGTAGCTGCAAGAGGTTTGGATATTCCAAATGTTGAACATGTAATACATTACCAAGTTCCCAGATCAAGTGAGGTATGTATAAATAAAAGTAAAGTAAATTTGTTTTAATTAAATTGACTGATGTCAATATAAATACAATATTGGTAAGTTTTAGTTTCAAAATTTACTGAGTTTTATGGCTACCTTATCATTGGAATATAATATTATCGAAATAATTGATTTATGATTCACATTATTTTTAAGAGTGCAGACATATTTCCTGTCAAATTAATATAATATTACTTAATGTATTGAATAGAAATAGAAATTACTTTTAATATTTTATTTGTAATTATTATTTAGAGTTATGTACATAGAAGTGGAAGGACAGCAAGAGCACAAAAAGATGGTATAACAGTTCTAATGATGGAACCATCTGAAAAACAATATTATAGTAAATTGTGTAAAACACTTGGACGCAGTAAGTGGCTAAATTAAATGATAATATATTGCTTCATGACTTTAACTTTTAACATCAATGCAATTATTTTACTTTTAGCCGAAGATTTACCTATGTTTCCCATAATAGATAGATTATTAGTTGCAGTTAAAGAGAGGGTTGATATTGCTCGTGAGATTGATAAACTAGAATTGAAATGTCGTAGAGATAATTCACAAAAGGGTTGGTTGCGTAAAGCAGTTGAAGATATGGATTTGATTTTAGAGGAGGATGAAGAGTATGATTTAATTTAATATAAATTATATATAAATTATAATAGTTATTATTGTGTTTTTTTATGATAAAAATAATTTTATTTTCTAGTGATTTAGCAACAGAAATAAAAGAAACAGCTGACTTAAAACGTCAGCTAAAAATAAAAAAACGTCAATTGGAATCGCTTATGTCAAAAGTATTATTTCCAAAAGGATTTTCTGGGAAGTACCCTGATGTTAATATTGAATTTAAGTTAAACACAGAAAATCAAAAAGCTATTGATATAATGAAAAAAGTTATAGAAGAGATTCCAAAGGAAAAAAAAGAAAGAAATAAAAGATCTAGTGTTAAAAAGGGTTTTTTTAAAAAGAAAACATTAAGGAAGTCAAATAGGAAAAATGTGTAACAAATATTTTTTTATTAAAATAAAAGGAAGTTAATATAAATAAATGTTACATCAGCTTTTTTCGTATATTTGTTTTATTTTTTGCATCTTGTTTTTCGTGTAATAAAATAAATTTTAAGAATAGTCGCTCAGATTATTTTTGCACAAATTACATCGATCCGTTTTTTCTTTTTTTTAGGAAGATTGAGCCTTTTGCTCTTCGAACTTTATTCATTGTCGTTACGATTGTTAATACGTATGGCAAAAATATGTACATGCAATTATTACAATTTCTAGAATATTACATGTTATTTTATGGTGCTTTTTATATAATATGATACAGATTTAATTTTTAATTATACGTTGATAAAAATAATCAACGGGTTCTCGATCATCAAACACAGCCGGTTAACTTATATAATAATAAAATTCTCCATGTTTAAAATATCGTATTGTAAATAACTTCATCTTCCGTGCTGATAATCGAATCAATTTGCTCGCTCGTTACCATCGAGTTTACGTATCTACTATCATTGCTAATCTTGCTCGGCAGTGCCGTGGACGAATCACGGCCTTTTACAACGATTTTGATCCTAGCCATCACGTGACTTCCGGGACATTTCTGGACCTGCGCGGCCGCATTCTCACAAATCTCCGCATAAATGTCGTCAGCTTTGGTCCTGGTTAACTTGGGAAGGGATGGCACTGGTGTAAGACTATCTCTAACACGAGAATAATTGGGTTGTAATTCAACATTGGCTGGCATTTCTAAAACACTGGTGGACGCTGATCTTTGTACAGGTTGTTTGGAAGAGTTCGAATGACTCGGATGAGAGGTAGTTTCTGGCTCCAAACTGGAGTAACGTTCTTGACACCTCATAGCAATTTCGGGTTTTACCGCAAACGTGAACGAAGCTGATTTTTTTGCAGGATTTCTGCTACGATTGCCTTGAGCAAATTTTGAAATTCGATCTAGAAATCCATTTCGACAATTTTGTCTGGTTTGACTTTTCTCCCTAACGGTGCTCTTTTTTAATTGTTCCAGTCCATCTTTCAAGCTTTGCAGAATTGGCTTCGTTTCCGGTTTCGGTTTAATTTTCTTTAAATGCATCTCTTTCAGATTTTCGCCGACTGGATGCAGTTTCAGAGGTGCCACTCTTGGTTCCGTTGCACGATCTCCGACAGCCCGGCTGAAGTGGAAGAACAGGTTAAGCCACATAGAATATATATTTACAAATGTTTTGCATCCTTCGAATATCGCGGTAATACGGGACACGATACGGTATATTAGTTTCTATCAGTGATCGTATATAACGTATTTTTGTTTCATCGATGCGCGCGCATGTAAGCATGGAATCGATCTTTATTTCATACATCGATTTATAAACGATTAATTTCTAGAATGTTAATATTGTAATTTATATATGAGATATACAGTTATAACGTTAAAAGAAAATTAGGGCAGTTTGAAAATAAGGTGCCGTAAGTGTAAGAAGTACATATTCATATATTTAAAGAATTATAGCGTATATCGATAAAAACTAATTTACCTGCAGGCAGATAATAATCGTTGCATTTTCGGTGAAGCCAAAAGCCTAGCTTCTGACGGATAACCTAATCGTGCTCTTCTCACTCTTGGGGCACCATTTCCGGTTACAACTAACTCAAGCATTTCTGGATTGTGAACTGGTCTTTCCGGTACGATGCACCCTAAAACAATTGGACCTCGAGTTGAGCTTTCCAGCTGCATTAAACCACCATATTCCCTCGGCAATGGTACAGGTAGTGGACCGGCTATCAAACGAACCTGAAAATTACAGCATGGTTAAGTAATTCAGTAATAAGCAGCAACCGTGAGTAGAACTTGATTGTTATTAATATATTGCATCTTATATATCTGTTGACTGTTGATATATCTTAAGCTTTCAAAATATTTATTTTATAGAACCAGTATAATTATACATATGTGTAAAATTACAATAAAATTATAAACAGAAAGTACAGATGCAAAGTAAAATAAAAATGTTGTTATAGTATTTGTAACTATACTGTACAAATGCAACATTTTATAATTGTATTTGGACTTGTATATCTTTTCCAATTTAAACAAAATTTGATTTAGATAATTTAATATATAGAAATGATATTTTGTAAAATATCGCTTATCGTGTCGTATATTATATAAAATATACGATATCTTGTATAATATTTTATAAAAGTCATAAATTTTTATTATTCAAAGTTAAAATATTATAATTAAAATAAAAGTAATTTTTTAAATATTGAGATCTACTATTACCGATGCATGGTAAACTTCAATATGATAATTAAAGAAATTAAGAGAAAAAGAAATAAAATGAGTAAGAGAATAAACTTACCCTGAGAGGCAATGGTCTTTTCGCAAGATGATGCACTTTGTACAGCACTGCATCGCTTCCAGTATCGATACTTCCATTCTGGCAAATAGCATAAAATTCTCCTCTTGCCGATAAAGGAGCAAATACCTCGCGACCATGTGGATCCAAACATTGCGCATACTGATCCTTTTCGGAAGA